ACATATGTCATGCTATGTTGACAGTTTTAAAAATAAATGTCACTGTATGTTGTGCTAAGGTAACGGTTTTAGAAGAAAAAAAAAAGATTTTTTTGTACATTTAATGTGACGGTTTTAGCCTATAGTAACGGTTTTTTTATGTGATTTGATAACGTTTTTTAAACATAACCAAAAGTGTATCAAAAGTGATGGCAGCTACAGTGACGATTTTTGTGTCCACAAAAACCTTTTATCATATACTTACGATGATGATTTTTAACCATCACTTAAGACCATATTTATACTAGTGTTTGTTATAACAATTACTTGTTACATGACACTCATTATATGTATTATCTAAAAATAACTTTTATTTTACTAAATGGCCCTAATCGCATTTTTTTTATGTTGATTTCTCGTATATCTGCATCATCACTTATATATATGTCCATTCAAGGGAGAACTAACTAGTTTGTGGTAACCGTGAGATCTAATCTCAACCACAAATCAATAGATAATTGAGAAAGTTATAATTTTGGTACTTTTGAATTAAAATTTTAATGCAAGGTCATTTTAGGTATTTACTTTCCTCTCTTCTCTCTCCGTCCCCCGTCCTCCAGTGATACACTGTTATAGCTACAAATATTGACTATGTTAAACAAAAGACATAATGTGATACACAAGCACATATAAGATGCATTGTGATATCACTGTGTTACATCTCCGATCGACCACACAAACGACCTCAGTATGATACCCAAACACATATAAGATGCATTGTGATACCACTGTGGTATCACCGGATGACGGTGGTCGGAGGACGGGGGACGGGGGACAGTGATAGGAGAGTTTTAAAATACCTAAAACGTCATTGCATTAAAATTTTAATTCAAAATTATCAAAATTATAAATTTTCTAATTTATCTATTGATTTATGATTGAGATTGAACCTCACGGTTATCACAAATTAATTAGTTCTCATTTGATTAGGCCCCATCTCTCTCTCTCTCTATATATATATATATGATGGAAACACTATTTTAATTTATTTAATGACATTTTTTGTTACTTTTTTCATTAATTATTATCTACACATTATTATTTACATAATGTTATTTAGAAAAACTTTAATAATAAATACTTAAAATTCTTTAGCAGAAAACCATATTTATAGTTATATAAATGAAATACTTATGACATTTGAATAACAACTATGATTTGTCAATAGTTTAGTTTTTGTTTAACTTACAATTCTACTTCACTATTTCTCTATATAAAGGTTATCATTTCCAAGTGCTTGAATAATTATTTTATTTGAAGCTTCATGGAGTATTTTTTTTTTTTTTTTTTWTTTATGTTAGGTTCGATATTTTGTATTTAAATGTTGTTTTCAAGCTTTATGCTTCTTGTATTCCTTGTATATAAATAGGATGCTTAGTTGTAGATTGTGTTAAATGTTGTAAGAGTGTAAGTAAGCATTAGCTGTTCGCTGTCAGGTTGGGCAGTAAGGGTCGGATAAGGCCAAACACTCATTCTTAAAACCAACGTTCTTAAGGCCAAAGAGTCGGTGAAAAAGGGGGAAAAGCTCTCCGTTCCTGGTTCTCCTGTAGCTAGATACTAATGGCAATTCATTTATATTATTCATAAAAATAATTAGTAATTTATTATTGTCACATACTAGTTTATATTAATGATGAATTAATTTTGGTTATGAATTTGTAATTAAAACACTAACTGATTATTAATTTATATTAATGCAGATTTAGTACTTATTTATGTTATTTATAGATTCATTAAGTCTTAAATTCTTAATAAAGGATTATTCCTTTTCTATGCTGTTAAAATCGCGATATATCGGATATCGGTGTCTGGAAAAATATCGGTAGTGAAATATCGGTTCCGATAATATCGCAGATATTTACCAACATTTCACCGATATTGTGATGGAAAAATCGGTCCGTTATACCGATTTCCATAAGGCAAATGTTTGGGCTTTCTTTATTACATGTTGCGCTTCGTTTTGTGGGCCTCTTTATTTGGTCAACCAGTCAACACATGTATCAGGTCTTACGCTTCTTCTATTCTCGGTTCTTCACATGTTGGAGATGAAGGGGAAGATTAAGAAACTAACCTAAACGAAGAAGTGAACGTATTAGATGATGTTGACTCGGATGCCGAACCTATTGCTTGTGATTAGCTCGTTTTTAACACTTTTCCTATTTTGTTTTGTGAGACTTGTTTATGTGATGTTTTAATTTTGAAACTATAATTCTGAACTCTAATTAATGCATATGATATGTTTATGGATGTTTTTCCGAAACACAAAAAAATTTCATTCAATATCATCAATTATTCAAGCAATGCATATATTATCTACAGGACGATCTTTAATGTTACTCATTCTATTTCACTTTACAACTTTATTCGTTAACAAAATTATATATACCGTATTATAAAGCATTTGATAAAAACTCTTAAAAACCATTTTTTAAGCACGAAGTACTGTTTATTGATGCATATTACTTAAAATTTAAAATTACAAGTAAATTGTGCATAAGTAYAACTTATTAAAACTCTGTATTTGAATTCGTATAACTAACTGTAGATAAATACAATCAAATATTGGATAAACATCTCATTTTAAATATAAAAAATCTAAAATACAATTAGGATAATTATTGAATTCTAACAGAATAATTCTTAGTTATTATCTTTATAAAAAATTATGTTATTAAACTTAAATTAAATTTGTTTCTTATTGAACCTATTAAATTATAATTAAAAAAATTGAATTAAGAAAATTACACCAAGACACAAGAACTTTTAAAAAGATTAATTTGATACTTATATCGATATTTTTTTTTAAAAAAAATTTATGATATTTTAAAATTTATATTTAATTCAAAAATAAAAACATTATCGTTTTCTCAAAACCATATAAAACCATATTATATCGACATAAAAAAGGAATAAAACTGAACACTGAAATCAATATGTTGTTACCTAGTTTTATTATATTAGGAAAAACCGTTGGGTGTTAAAGCTAGATCAGTGAAAGTTAACTCCTCTTCCCTATCGGCATAGTTTCGAAGAAGTTCCACTTCTTTGTTGCTTAATTGTAGATGATCTTGAAACTAAACTTGCTATTGGAAAATTGGGAAGCATTGTGTGTAGAATCAATGATTGTGGGTTAATTAGAGTTGTGCATCTTTTTATTCATACAACAAACGCTAGTCCATAAAACAAGAAAGTACACCATATATGTGCCTGCAAAAGCCGCAATCGGTCCAACTACTACAAACACCATTAAGCCCCAATCGGTCCAACTATTACAAACACCATTAAGCGCCAATCAGTCCAACTACTACAAACACCATTAAGCCCCAATCGATCCAACTACTAAAAACACCGTTAAGCCCCAATCGATCCAACTACTACAAACACCATTAAGCCCCTTTTCAAAGGTCTTGAAGACGAACTACACTGTGACACATTTAACACAAATCCAATATCTCAGGAAAATCAACAACAGAACCCATAAAATCAAAAACCTAAAACTCAATGAAGATGGAGATGTTGTTTAGACTTTATATTTACAAAATCAAACCTAAAATTGATGATGGTGATTAATCTTTTTTTCTAGGGATCCCAAGTTGCGAGATGACGATGACGATGGAGATTGGATTCAGAAGAAGATGAGGTTGTGACCTTACCCAAAACGATTCGACCACTGCAGTCTTGCTGTGATCTCACCCAAGTCGTTTTAGGGAGGAAAATATCATAAAAAGTATTATTATATAGTATATTTTGTATTTACTTAAAAAGAAAAATAGGAAATGACTAACATACCCCTCATTATATTACACTTAACGGAAAAAAGTTAATGGTTGTCGGACCATAGAGAGAAAATCCAAGTTTTTAAAGTTTATGGATAATATCCATTGAAGATTTTAAACATTAAAGGCCAAAATTGAACTTTACTTCGATTTTAAAATTCTTTTATCTTATAACTAAATATCTATACTTCCTTATAAACCAGATTTATTAAAAGTCTTAAAAACAATTTTAATGCATAAAGTACTATACATTTATATACAAAGTCTTAAAAACAACTCATTATGCATTAAGTACTAGTACTTTATGCATTCGGTCTTAAAATCTCTTAATCCACAATTAAAATAACATATAGTACAAGTTACCAATGCACATTATAGTCTTTTCTTTTCATGTTCCCAAGATACTTTTGACACATTTCACCCATGCATTCATCCTCTTATACCCCTATGTCTTCTCCCCATCCCCCAAGGTGAGATTCAAACTGATATTCACCATGAGTTATTAAAAGTTCTATCATCCATCTCTCATTCAATTAGAACTCTCGGTCTCGCTTTCAATCTTTTGATTCTTTGTTCTTGATGTAAATCAAACACATTTGTGAAGTCGTTTAAACATGTTGAATTTTAAACTGTTAAACAATTTTTTTTTTCGATAGACTGTAATTGAAACCATAACTCTTATTTATTCAAATTGTATTAATATGTAAAAACCAAGTATAACTTATATCATCGTTAAATTTTCTCTAATAAAACCAGTGAAACTTCAAAATCGTTAAACTTCACAGCTCCCGCCACATTGCACGGGTACACAACTAGTATAATTATAAATTAGAAATTTGTTTGTAAAAATGGACATTTAATCCACATAAACTAAAATAAAAACGTCAATGTTTAATTTAAATAGAAATACGGACAATTATTTTTGTAACAAACTAAACCCAAAACTATATGATACACAAAAATATACACTTATTTGAGATTGCTTATTTGAAACAACTTATACTTTTCTACAAAAGCACTTATCAACGTATTATAAGTTAGAAGAGTTTAACTTTTTTTAAAAACTTCTTATTATTAGTTTGGCACGGGTATAAGTTATTTATCCAAACACTCAAAAGTGTTTATTACCGATGTCACACCAGAATAAGTCAATAAGTTGTTTTAAAGATATGAAAGTAGAGAGAGAGAGAGAGAAATAAGGTTTCCCATTTAAGCAATGAATTATACAATAGAATGTTTAGTTAGAGGGACATGTGTTTATTTGATTTAGTTCATCAACAAACATAGACATAGACTTAATTAAGAGATTAAGCCAGGAGCCAAAAGTCCTTGCGCCATCTGGTGCTGATCAGGTACCCTCCAATCCCTTTGCTCTGCTTTCGCACTCCTATCGTCAAGCATTCCACTGTCTTGATGCACTGCTCCACAAATTTCTCTGTGCTACTCATCCCTCCCAAGCTGCAAAACCAAACTACCCCTTTTACTTAACACCAAACACCTAACACCTTCTTTGTGTCGTAAACGAAGTTATGATGAGAAACGTAAGAAAAGATCTCAACCATTGATCACTTTTAACCTCATGTCCACCCATGAATTATGCTTTATAAAAGAATTGATCAGATGCACCAAATTTACGAGATTATATTTTATAAAAGAGCTATTTATTAAATTGGTTAAGAAAAAATTGGGTATCTTTTTGAAATTTGTTGGATGGTAGCAATTATGAGAGACTGAAAGATTCTGTCAGCTTTTTACATTGATGGTGAAGTCTTCTTTTGAACTCTTGTATCACGCATCTTTTCAACCCCCAACAAATTTCCACCATTCTCACGGTCCTTAAAGATTGAAACTGTTCGCTTACTCCGATAAACATTTACCAAGTTATGTTACCTTACCAGATGAATATGGTAAAGACCAAAAATCTTACCCGATAAGAGCGAAACAAGAACCGAGGGGCCATTTACCTAAATGCTTACCCTTAAGATTCAACACTATAATTTATTTTATCGGGTAAGATTGTAGTACATCAAAACGTATCTTATGCAACAATTTACCTGGTAAGCGCTTACCCAGGTAAGAGTCATCACCCTCACTTACAAGGTAAGACTCTCCATTCTTATCATTGCTCTTACCGGGTAAGATTCTTGCCCCTTGCCATATGTTCATCCGGTAAGAAAAATTGCCCAGTAAGTACTTACCGGGTAAGATTTGTCTCTTGCCATGTTCATCCGGTAAGAAAAATTACCCAGTAAGTACTTACCGGGTAAGATTTTTGCCCCTTATCATGTTCATCCGGTAAGAAAATTGCCCAGTAAGTACTTACCGGGCAAGATTCTTGCCCCTTGCCATGT